GTCTAGTGCGCACAGATACACGCTTTAATAATAACTTTCAATGAAAGGTAGAAAATGAACAGAAATAGAAAAAAAGCACAAAGACATGGAAATATAAAATTGTCCACAAAAGATCATTGTGCCTGTGTGCTCTGCTGACTGTAAAACTCTGATAAAATAAGAAATTGGGTTAAAAATATTTCTCTAGTGTCTTATAGTTGAAACACCTAGGAAAATCTCACCTTTTGCATACACAGTTGAGAACGCCCATTGCTGTCAGGTAGAAGTCAGAGTATGCAACATAATATAACATAATATAAAATAATGAATGATAATTGTTTCAGGTCAGTTGGAAAATAAATGCATTTGCTTAAGCAATAAAATGACTTTAAAACTCACTTCAAAGATTATATTCTCTTAATGTCGATAATTTAAAGTGATCATTAGCTCTAAGTATATATATATATGTATTTTAAATAAAAGATTATCAAAAATATCAAAAATATATTTTAAGTACACAACTCTGTGAGTACAGAGGGACTGTACAGGTTTTGTAGATCACTGAATAAATGTAGTTTGTTAAAAAATATCTCACAAATTCCTGAGTTAATCAAGCTTCAGAAATAGGACCACTTATGAACCCTCTTTTATAGCCTGACCCTCTAAAAAAAAAAGGTAAAGGAACATTAAAGTGTTCAAAAGAATATTGTTCTGGTCTTTATAGAACTTAAAGCAAAATTTATAGAGTTTTGGCAAATATACTTCCCCATTCTCCAAGCTCACCTTCCCCATAATGAAGTGGCATAAAATATCAAAATATATACTTTGTGGATGTTAACAAAGCACCAGCAATAGCTAACGTCACATGTGGTATACAGTGCATTATGTGCTTTGAAGTACGATGCAGAGAGAATTTCATTTTTGGCTGTGCACATGGACTCTGGACCCAGTTTGTGAGGAACATCCCCTCATCTGCCTCTTGTCAGCTGCGGACCTTGGGCAAGTTACATATGTCTCTGTGCATTGGTTCCTCATCTGTGAAAATGCAAACAATAGCACCTCTTTTGTTGTAGGTCAATAGGTATAGACAAAATAATACACAAGTCATGCTTAAAACAGTGTCTGGAACATGTCAGCAGTCAGTAAATGTGAGCATGCTACAAGCACTGTCCCACTTAATTCTCACAAAAGTCACACAAGATAGCTATATAATGGAGGCTCAGAATGGTTAAATAACTTGCCCATGGTCATACAGTAGTACCTAACAGAGCTGGGGTACAACCCTACCCATATTAGGCTAAAATGACATAACATAATATAAAAAAATTAGCTCAAATTGGATAAATCATTTTTAATTTAGAATAGTAGTAGTCAATCTATCTTCCCCAGAGTCCTAAGTTCAGAGAAATTATCTACTAAGTCCATCAATTTAATTCATCATATTCACAGAAAATTAAAAAGAAAAACAATATAACCATCACAATAAAAGCAAAACAAAAAAAAGAATTTGACAAAATCTAACCCTATTTAAGATTTTAAAAAATAAAAATATTCTCAGAAAACTAGAAACAGTAGAAAACTTTCTCAACTCAAAAACGGCATCTATGAAAACTCTACAGCTCACATAAGATTTAGTGATGAAAGACCGAATGTCCTCCTAAGATCAGGAACATGCAAGAATTTCCACTCCCCACACCTCACTCACATTGTCCTGGAGGTTCTAGCCAGTCCAGCAAGCAAGACAAATAAAAGGAATACAGATCTGAAAGGAAGAAGAAAAGCTTTTGCTATTTGCAGATGACATAATCAGAGATGGAGAAAATCCTAGGGAATCTATTTAAAAATTATTAGAAATAAGTAAATTTAGCAAGAATGCAAGATATATGATATTTTAAAATTTATTATACTTATATAACTTAGCAATAAAACAATATTCAAAAACATTATTTAACACAGATTTCATAAATATGAGCAAAACAAGACACTGAAAAGTAAAAAAAATGCTAAGAAAGATTAAAGCCTTACATAAATGGATTGTCAGGATGTCCATTCACCCCAAATAGATCCAGAAAATCAATGTCATGCCAAACAGGATCTTAGCAGGATCCTGAAAATGCAAACCTAAAAGAACCAAAACACTTGTGGAAAAGAACAAATTGGAGGAATTCTACACATACATAAAGATTTTATAATTTATGAGGGGTACCCAAAAAACCTGGAATTTATTTATTAAAAAATTGTATATTATTTCTTACATGTTTAAACTTCAGTCACCTTCAGAGTACTCTCCTTTTGATACAATACATCTATCAAGATTTTTTTCCACTGCTCTAAACAGTTTTTGAACCTGTCAATTTGTATACCTTTTAGTGCTTCTGCCATTTTTCATTTCACCTCTTCCACATCAGCAAAGTTTCCCTTTGAGGACTTTTTTACATACAGGAAAACAAACAAAAAAAAGTCGCTTGGGGGTGAGATTGGATGAATAGGGAGGGTGAGGCATGAAGGTCATGCCGTTTTTAGTCAAAAACTGCTGAACACTCAGCATGGTGTGGACAGGTGCACTCATAAACTACCCATCATGAAATGGACAAAAGCATCAAAAGAGTCTTGAGAAGAAATTCTCTAAAGCCAAATGTAGCCTCTCACAACAATGCCAGCTGGTACACTGATACAGATGGGTTCCTAGAACACTCACCTAGCGAGGGAAGCCTACACAACAAGGAGCCTTTCTTACGGAAGATAATTCCAGTTTTTTGTGATCTCCCCTTATATATAGAATACTATGCAGCAGAATAAAGAAATGAACTCCTGACACATACCACAAAATGTATGAACCTCAAAAACATAATGCTAAAACAAAAGAAACCAGAAACAGGAATAAGTCTGTGGAAGTCTATTTTCACAAAATTCTTAAAAAATCAACCTAAGCAGGTCAGTAATTTTGTGAGAGTGGGCAGATAAAACAACAAAGGAGCACAAGGAAGGTGTACAAACAAAGAAATTCTACATCTCCATTGTGATCGTGGTTGCATGAGTATATACATTTGCCAAAATTCATCTAAGTACCATAAAATTGGTACATTTTATTGCATGTGAATTTCAAAGTTAATTTTAAAATTTCAACTGTGGCAGTTGCAATGGCATAAAGGCATATCACTGGGAGAATGTGTAATGAGAGATTCCATCTAATCAAGGATGTCAAGAAAGGTTTCCTTGCAGAATGACCACTCTGTTAACAGCAGGGAGTTCGTGGATCCACAGTTGATTTGAGAAGACACAATCAGAGATGGTTTTCACCGTTATACACAAGTCAATAAACGTAATACATGACATGGTGAGAGATGATGGTAGTGTAGAACAGAGCGATTTTCTATAAGGGATAGAGATAAAAAGAACTAAGGAGTTATAAAAATATTTAGTAGATAAAATCAACAGGGCTGGTGATGGGATGACAGAGAGGGAGATGTCAGAGATGACATTCAAGGTGCTGGTTATAGAGCTGGGTAGAAAGTGATGCCCTCTGTGACCGGAAACAGTGCCTGGTATGTGATGGCTCATGTTTATTGAGAGGAAAGGACTGGACCTGAGAGGTAGGCTAGAAGCTCTATTTTGAAACACTGAGTTTGAGGTGCTTTGAATATCCTAGAGGAGATAGCAAATAGCCATATTTATTCAGTTTTCAATTATAAGATGAACAGAAAGTTAGTATTGGTGAACTGCTTTTAATTACTTTTTGAGAAGGGAATATATTTGAATAAAAATCATCATTAATATCACCATAGGAAGGTATACTTTAATAGAAAATTTGATAGAAAGCATGTGAATAACATATCTAACATAAGCAGAGAGAGTTATCATGTTATGCATAATGTTAAGTACTCACAGTTATTTACAGGCCAGTTTACTGTTCTTCAAAATGTGTTTATAGCTGGGAATCCTTATCTAGTCCCTCTGTTTGCCCCAAAAAATTGTGACAAGAAATAATTAGGTCTGGCCTCCAATTTCTCTGGCCTCTTGTATTTAAATTTAGGCAAGCCATTCTCCTTTTTTGTTACTCATTGTTTTCAGCTATAAAAAGTTTCCAGAGGGTATGGGTTTTGCATTACAGAGTGGTTATTCATAAGGTTAAATGTCAGAAATCATTTTTTTAAAGTTCTTTCCTTATATCATAGACAAAAAATAACTAAAAATTGATAAAAAAAAGACCTTACTGTAAAAACTAAAACTATAATATTCTCAGAAGAAAAAACATAGAAGAAACACTGAATGACATGGAATTTTCCAATGATTTCTTTTTTTCTTTATTTATTTTCTTATTTTTTAATTTATAAATCATGTTTATTCTATTACAGTTGTCTCAATTTTTCCCCCTTTACCCCCCTCCACCCATCCCACCCCCATCCCCCAACTCCCACAGTCAATTCCCACTCTGTTTTCCATGTCCATGGGTCATTCATACATGTTCTTTGTCTAGTCCCTTCCCCTTCTTTCCACCATTGTCCTCTTTCCCCCTCCCCTCTAGTCACTTTCAATCTGCTCCATGTTTCCATGTCTCTGGTTTATTTTGCTCATTAGTTTATTTTGTTGACTAAAGTCCACTTACAGGTGAAATCATATGGTATTTGTCTTTCACCAACTGGCTTATTTCACTTAGCTTAATATTCTCCAGTTTCATCCATGTTGTCACAACAGGGAGCAGTTCCACCTCTCTCTCCTTCTGTCTTTCTTAAATGCGGATTGATTTTATTTATATTTTTAAATGTCAAAGTTCATTATATTGCATATAACAGCAAAATCGTAAAATAAGCAACAGAAGATAACATAGATAATTTATATTTCATTAAAACAAACCTTTATGCATCAAAGAACACTCTCAAAAGAGTGTAAAAGACAGCTCAAGAAAGGGAAAAATGATTACAACTCATATATCTGGCAAGGGATATTAATTTACAATATATAAAAAGCAAATTGGTTTCTTTCATACAACAAAAAAAAAAACATTTAAAAATGGACAAACAGTGCTCACTTCAGCAGCACATATACTAAAATTGGAAAGATACAGAGAAGATTAGCATGGCCCTGTGCAAGGATGACATGCAAATTCGTGAAACGTTCCGTATTTTTAGGAAAATAACAACTGATACTACAGAAATACAAAGGATTGTCAAAAACAACTATGAACAATTATATGCCAAGAAATTTGAAAACTTTGATGAAATGGACAAATTTTTAGAAAAGTATAATATTCCAACACTGAAGGAGGAAGAAGCAGAAAGCTTGAGCAGACCAGTAACAGGTGGGGAAATTGAAGCAGTAATCAAGAAACTCCCAGCACACAAAAGTCCAGGGCCAGACGGTTTCCCAGGAGAATTTTACAAAACATTTAAGGAAGAGCTAACCGCTGTCCTTCTCAGACTATTCCAAAAAATCCAAGAGGAGGGAAGACTCCCAGACTCTTTCTATGAGGCCAGCATCACCCTAATCCCAAAACCAGATAAAGACCCTACAAAGAAAGAAAACTACAGGCCAATTTCGCTGATTAACATAGATGCTAAAATCCTCCACAAAATATTGGCAAACCGCATCCAGCAATACATTCAAAAGATTATCCACCACAATCAAGTGGGATTCATCCCAGGGATGCAAGGATGATTCAATATACACAAGTCAATAAACGTAATACATGACATGGATAAAAGAAAAGACAAAAACCACATGATCATCTCGATAGATGAAGAAAAAGCATTCAATAAGGGGTAGCACCCATTTATGATCAAAACACTCAACAAAATGGGAATAAATGGGGCATTCCTCAATGTAATAAAAGCCATATAGGAAAAACCTACAGCCAACATCATAAAACGGGCAAAAACTCAAAGCTTTCCCACTAAGATCAGGAACACAACAAGGATGTCTGTGCTCACCACTTCTTTTCAACATCGTATTGGAAGCCCTAGCCACAGCGGTCAGACTAGAGAAAGAGATAAAAGGCATCCACATAGGAAAGAGGAAGTAAAGCTATCATTGTTTGGAGATGACATGATAGTGCACATAGAAAACCCTGTAGACTCTACCAAAAAACTACTCAACCTAATGAGTGAATTTGGCAAAATAGCAGGATACAAAGTCAATATTCGGAAATCAAAGGCATTTTTGTATACCAGCAATGAAAGAGAAGAAGAAATCAGAAAAAAAAATACCATTCGATATAGCAAGAAGAAAAATAAAGTACCTAGGCATAAATTTAACCAAAGAGGTAAAAGAACTGTATTCAGAAAACTATACAACATTGAAGAAAGAAATTAAGGACGACACAAATAAATGGAAGCGTATACTGTACTCATGGATTGGAAGAATTAATATCATCAAAATGTCCATACTAGCCAAAGCAATTTATAGATTCAACACGATCTCTATTAAGATATCAATGACGTATTTCACAGAAATATAACAGACATTTCTAAAATTTATATGGAACCATAAACAACCCCAAATAGCGCAGCAATTTTGAGAAAGAAACACAAAGTAGGAAGCATCACAATACCGGACATCAAACTCTACTACAAAGCCACTATACTCAAAACAATCTGATACTGGCACAAGAACAGACCCATAGACCAGTGGAACAGAATAGAAAGCCCAGAAATAAACCCAGGTCTCTATGGGCATCTAATATTTGACAAAGGGGGCAGAAGCATAAAATGGAGCAATAATAGCCTCTCCAACAAATGGTGTTGGGAGAGCTGGATGGCTACATGCGAAAAATTGAAATTGGATCATCAGCTGACACCATACACAAAAATAAACTCAAGAAGGATAAAAGACTTAAGTATAAGTCGCAACACCATCAAAGTCCTAGAGGAGAACATTGGCAGGAAACTCTCAAATATCCCATGCAACAATTTTTTCACCAATATGTCTCCTAAAGCAAGGGACATAAAGGAGAGAATAAACAAGTGGGACCTCATCAAAATAAGAAGTTTTACACAGCTAAAGAAAACATCAGCAGAATGCAAAGGGAGCCAACCCTATGGGAAAATATATTCGCTAATGATACATCAGATAGAGGTTTGATCTCCAAGATATATAAAGAACTCACTCAACTCCACTCCAAGAGGACAAATGATCCAATCAAAAAATGGGCAAAGGACCTTGGCAGACGCTTTTCCAAGGAGGGGATACAGAGGGCCCAGAGGCATTTGAAAGGATGCTCAGCATCACTAGCCATCAGAGAAATGCAGATCAAAACCACCATGAGGGACCACCTCACACCGGTCAGAATAGCCATCATAAACAGATCAACAAAGAACAGGTGCTGGCGAGGCTGTGGAGAAAAGGGAACCCTACTACACTGTTGGTGGGAATGCAGACTGGTGCAGCCATTGTGGAAAGCAGTGTGGAATTTCCTCAAAAAGCTGAAAATGGAACTGCCTTTTGATTCAGTGATTCCCCTGCTGAACTATACCCTAAGAACACCAAAACACCGATACAAAAGAACCTATGCACCCCAATGTTCATAGCAGCACAATTTACAATAGCTAAGTGTTGGAAGCAACCTAAATGCCCATCAGTAGATGATTGGATCAAAAAACAATGGTACATATACACAATGGAATACTACGCAGCAGAAAGAAAAAAAGAACTACTAAACTTCGCAACAGCATGGATGGAACTAGAGAGCATTATGCTAAGGGAAATAAGCCAGGGGGCTAACGACAAATACCATATGATCTCACCTATAAGCGGAACCTAACCAACAATACAAAGATGCAAGGAAAATAAGACCAGCAACATTGAAAGGAAAAGAAATCAACAGAGACAAGAGGGAAGGAGGGAGGACGGGGCGGGGAAAAAGAAGGAAAGGGGAAAGTCAAGGAACATATAGCAAGGACTCATGGACAAAACCAAAGGGGTAGAGCTGAAGGAGGGAATTAGAGAGGGAGCAAGGTTAAGTGGTGGGGGGTGAGGCAGAGACAAATGTATTTGAAGAAAATAAATTAAAATAAAATTTAAAAAAAAAGAAAGATTTTGTTTGGGAACATCAAAATTTTCTAAAGATAAATGGTGGTGATAGTTGCACAAAATTTGAATGTACTTAATGCCACTGAATTATACTCTTAAAAATGGTTAAAACGGTAAATTATATGTTATGTGTATTTTATCACAATAACATATTTTACTATGCTATAGTAAAAGGAAAAGGACAAAAAAGAATCCAGCCCCTATGTAGCTAGAAAATCTGAGAGACAAAAGGGACCATTCAGCGAGTTTTTCCCTCACACTCCCTCTGCACAGAATCCCCCCTTACCCACACAGCTACAAGCTTCAGTCTCCAGGCCTGGGAGGAAGCCCCGCAGGGAAGCCTTGGACTCAGCCCTGACCAGGCCATGGCTGAAAAACTCATTAGAAACCAGAGAGAAGGGAAGATAATTTCTACTATAAGTTTCTCATATCTTCAAATGATTAGTTCTCCAATCTGCATGCTAACCAGTAAGAAAAATGTTTTTAAACAAAGACAGGAGCATCAGATCTTAACTGTGAATTGCATTTATTCTCAGTTAGGATTCGTAAGCAGAATATGGTCCTTCAAAAGATATCCACACCTTAATTGCCAGAGCCTGCGAATATGGCCAAGGGAACGAAGATTGCTAATCAGCTGACCTTACAATGGGGATATTGTCTTGGATTAGGGAGAGGCAATGTCATCACAAGGCTTCTTAAAAGTTGAAGAGGACAGTCAGAGGGAGCCACAGCTGTGGTAGAAAGGCAAAGTGATGGCCTTGAAAATGAAGAAAGGGAGGAAGGAGCTGAGGAATGTGGACACTGTATCAAAGCTGAAAAAGCAAGCTGTATTCTCTCCTAGAAACCTTGATTTTAGTCTATGAAACTCATGTAAGACTTCTGAATTACAGAATTGGCGAGGATGTAAAATGGTACAGCCACTATGGAAACAGTAGGAGGTTCTTCAAAAAAATTAAAAATAGAACTGGGTATTGAAGGTCCAAGATGGTGCCGATTACTCCTGTTAGACAACTGATCCCTGAATAAACAGCTTCTGAAAACAAACAAGAGAAAGAGATCGAACAGTCGGGATGGGGAGGAGCTCGACTATTCTACAACTCTGGGAGCTGCAGAAGATCTCCATGGAAGCAGTGGGTGGAGCCACAGTTGCCTCCCCTCCCCCTCACTAGATCAGGGAGAGCTTTATGGGAACTTCGGACCATCTACAGGATCATTGCAGCAGCACATTTACAGCTATATCCCCTGGAGCCTTTTGCTCCTGAACAACAGGGCATCAGCACATCCACCTGATCTTTCTTCAGGGTGCTACTCCACTTGGCAGGTTAGTGACCCAGGTGCCAGTGTCCACTGGGCTCCAAGCCCCTGAAGTATTGCCATGTAGTTTCCCTCAACACCATGCTCTTTTCCTAGGTGAGGCCAAGAGACATTTCCTAGCCACTTTCTTGACATTTAGGCGAGAACTCCAAGCAGACTCTCTTCAGCCTTACCAAGTAGTTGGGTTTAAATGCATTTCATAACTGATTCCAACCTTCATTACCAGAATAAAGGCACATTCTTGAGTTTGAATTTGAATCCCACACACAAGCACAGCAGACAGCTCTTCATTCTACAAAATGTCTGTAGCAGCTTACTTGCAGTTGCTTGCAATGAATCAGGACCAGGGAGAATTCAGTCAGAACAGAATGTCATACCAGATAGGGAAGGGACTGCTCCAATGCGTCAGGCAATGGTCTCAGAATGAATACAGGGAGCAGGCTTGCAAAGGAATTTTTCAGTAGAGTAAAACCAACTCTGTTCCTTAAAATGAACAAAGCTTCTCACATTTACTTTAACTCGGAGCTTCACTCAGGGACATTGAGGAACAGTCCACCATGTTTAATCATGTCACAGCAGCTAAGCCTATGTTCTGCAGTTGATTTTGACAGCAACCTCCCTATGTCACCTCTGTTACACCAAAGCCTAATTCAATAAAGGTCACTGAGAAGGGCAAGGCAATGGTGTCCAAAAGCTACCACCTGAAAGTCATTACAATAAAGCTTCTATCTCCCTTTTTTGCCATCTTGTTTAGAAAAGTTTTTTTTTAATAAACCATTGTGATAGCA